TCTGTGTGGCTTTGGACAAGTTCCTTCACCTTTCTGTGCCTCAGTTTTTTCATATGTAAATTGAAGAGAATAACAGTACTCCCTTCATAGGGAAGTTGTGAAGATGAAATGAGATAACACATGTGCCTGGCACAGAGTAAACCCTCAGTAAGTAATAATGATCATTATTATTATGTTTTATAAATTTATTTATTTATTTATTTATTTTCGGCTGTGTTGGGTCTTCGTTGCTGCGTGCGTGGACTTTCTCTAGTTGCGGTGAGCAGGGGCTACTCTTCATTGCAATGCACTGGCTTCTCATTGCGGTGGCTTCTCTCGTTGTGGAGCATGGGCTGTAGGTGTGTGGGCTTCAGTAGTTGTGGCGTGAGGGCTCAGTAGTTGTGGCTTGCGGGCTCTAGAGCACAGGCTCAGTAGTTGTGGTGCACACGGGCTTAGTTGCTCCACGGCATGTGGCATCTTCCCAGACCAGGGCTCAAACCCGTGTCCCTTGCATTGGCAGGCAGATTCTTAACCACTGTGCCACCAGGGAAGTCTCTGATCATTATTATTAAGTTATTAAGTAATGGGGCAGAGATTCAAACCCAGGACTGCAAATCTCCAAAGCCCAAGCTCTTTTTGCTAAGCCAGTTTGCCCCCTTGTTGTTAAACTTCTAGGATAAAATGAACCACTGTATTTTTCTTCTGCTGCAGTAGCCTTCTCAGACTTAATGATGGTGATATCTTTGCAAAACTCTGCGTGGAATGAGGTCGAGGGTTTGGAGGCACACGATGCCAGGCACAGCCCCGGGTCCCCAGGGGAAAGCCAGCGCACATCCAGGGATGGACAGGCGGCTGTGCCCGCAGGCCTCTTTGGATGGTGTCACCCATTCCTCTCCAATCAGAAAAATGAATAGCCATTGATTAAAAACCACCATTGGCCAATTATATTGTTCTGTCCCAAGAGCAAAGGATTCCATACCCAATCTTTGAATCTCATTGCTCAGGAACTGTCTTACTTCTCAAGAAATATACTTGGTAATTTAAAAAAATGTAGTAAATGACAAAATTTGGAAGCAATAATGTAGGACAGGGCTTCCCTGGTGGTGCAGCGGTTGAGAGTCTGCCTGCCGATGCAGGGGACACGGGTTCGTGCCCCGGTCCGGGAAGATCCCACATGCTGCGGAGCGGCGGGGTCCGTGAGCCATGGCCGCTGAGCCTGAGCGTCCGGAGCCTGTGCTCCGCAACGGGAGAGGCCACAACAATGAGAGGCCCGTGTACCACAAAAAATAAAATAATAAAATAAAATAAAATAAAATTTAAAAAAATGTAGAACAGACAGTGTGTGTGTGTTTCAGCCAACGCATGATTGGCCTAAAACAGACAGGCCAGCCAAGCGCCTCGACACACCCAAATGTTGTCCTTACCAGGTAGCTGAATATCAGGCTCCCTATTGCAAAGCTCAGTTTAGTTGTGAAATGTTTACTTATCCTGTGTATACAGAGAGGTCAAGCCATTGGATCTTTTTAATATTTAAACATGCAAAATGTGTGCAGTAGACTGACCTCTTAGCATAAATAGAGTTATTCCACGGGAAATTTACAACCTGATTGTCTTAATAGCAGCCGTATTTTATTTTATTATTTCTTTTTAATTAAAAATTTTTTTCAGCTATGTTGGGTCTTCGTTGCTGTGCATGGGCTTCCTCTAGTTGCGGCGAGCGGTGGCTACTCTTCATTGAGATGCACGGGCTTATCATTGCAGTGGCTTCTCTTGTTGCGGAGCGTGGGCTCTAGGCACGCATGCTTCAGTAGTTGTGGCATGCGAGCTCAGTAGTTGTGGCGCATGGGCTCTAGAGCGCAGGCTCAGTAGTTGTGGCGCACGGGCTTAGTTGCTCCGCAGCATGTGGGATCTTCCTGGACCAGGGCTCGAACCCGTGTCCCATGCATTGGCAGGCGGAGTCTTAACCACTGCACCACCAGGGAAGTCCCAGCAGCCATATTTTAAAATAACTTACCAGGAAGTTGTGTTAGGTAGTACAGTATTGAGTGATAGCAGTGTCATTTTTTTAAATCTTAAATTCATTATGAGAAAAGTTACCAGGTGTCATTATAAACAGAGTAGAACCTATGTTCCAATATGTTTCATAATTGTAGTGTGACAAATTATTAAACTATAAAATGCTTTCTAGGACTCTCTGGCTGAAAAATTTTGAAAGTAGTATGTCTCTATTTTGTTGTGGTTCCTAAAGTTATTTCCATAATATTCCATAGGTCAGAGCAAGCTTCATGGTCCTGAGTCTCATATTCTTTACCTGTAAAATGAAACAGTTGTACTCATTTCATCTCTTGGGTTCTTTCTTTATGATTTTCTGATTAAATGTCTACTCACTGAGTGATTATGGGACTTGCAGATTTAACTACATATTGGTCTGATAGCATGTTTTCTACTTTTCATAATTATATCTCAAAAGTTTAACTCCTTAAAACTCAATAAATAATTGTTTCAAAGTATTAATTGGAATTTTTTTTTCTCCTGCAGCTGAATCATCTCTTGTTCCTTTTGTCCCCTACTCCAATGGTACTCCAGGCAAGATTTTGAAAAAATTTAAACCTAGATTTACCCCAATTTGTTAAGTTTTTGATTTAATTATACCTTTGTCTTGTCATTTTTCCTCGGGACAAAAGAGGTTGAAACTACAAGCTTAAATGGTAAGAATTTTTCTGTAGCAAGTGAAAATTGATAACCCTTAATATGAATATAAGTATAATGAATGGTGTTGAAGGTTTCCTTATTCAAATAACAAACACAAACAAACACAAAAAATCCCCCAGACCATCGACCCTGGAGAGCAACCTAAACTTTCTGGTTAAATGATAAAATGCTTATTGTGGAAGGAGGACAGCCATACACCATTTCTAACTGTGCTGTGAAAGGAAAGAAATATCGATCACATTTTGAGAGCTCTGGTTGCTCTGCAACACGATGCGAACACACTTTACAGGACACATTGTTTAAATGGGAAAAGTCACATCCAGTGACTTTAATGTGATTCAGCCTAGATTTAGAGGCACAAAGTCTTCAGAGACAGCCTTTTTTTTACAGATGATTTTATCAATTTTAAAATAGTATGAAATGAAAAAAAAATCTGGCTTCATGCTAGGGAAAAGGGCAAAGAATTGGGCTATAATCGAGGGAGGTGGGCAGGGCAGCACGTTCTGTTCCCTTTCTCTTTGGGTAGACAGCCTTCCATCTTATTGCAGTCAAAACCCAACACTTTTCACAATCCCTTAGTTAAGATGAAATCTCACCATGTGGTTGGTGGTTAAGGAGCTAAACAATCATAGATGCAACTCATGCCAGTCAAAACTGGTTTAAATTCACATTTGGTCCAGTGGGAAGGAAAGACATTATCTTTTTTTTTTTGCGGTACGCAGGCCTCTCACTGTTGTGGCCTGTCCCGTTGGGGAGCACAGGCTCCAGACGCACAGGCTCAGCGGGCATGGCTCATGGGCCTAGCCGCTCCACGGCATGTGGGATATTCCCGGACCGGGGCATAGACCCGTGTCCCCTGCATCGGCAACTGGACTCTCAACCACTGCACCACCAGGGAAGCCCAAGACATTATCATTTTTATGTGCAATTACTTTTTACAGTGAAAAAACATCTTTAAAATCGCCTTGGCAGTAGTTTTTGGATCCCATTTGTGTGGGTTTTTTTTTTTTTTTTTTAAGTGTAATAATATAGTACAGGCCTTTTTTTCCCCCTTAAAGTTTCATCCAGAATAATAAATTCTAGAAGGATTTTCATTTAAAGAAATACCAATAGGGTAGATTTTAAATTGGATTTTAAGTGAAACGATCAAAATGAGATTTCCTTAAAAGTTCGTTGAATATCATGTTCAAGAACTCCAAATTTAAACTAGAATTTCTTAACGATTGTTTTATAAGAGTATACCTTTAGGTACAAATGCATTAAGCATCTATAGGGCTATGTATAATATTAAAGTTACTACTAACTACGGAAATGTCATATCCCTTAGAGACTTTCATTATAATAGAGAAAAAAAGGGGACAAAATGTTAAACAACATAAATGGGTTTATTTAAATCTAATGATTATAGGAGTGCTGCTATGTTTTAGACACGTAAAACGTGTTCAGGAAACACAGTTTTAAATTAATGAATACTTGCTCAGGAATGGTCTGCGTGGGTTGGGGAATGGCTAGTGTTGTGAAGGGGTGGACCGGTTGGCTTTTGCAAAAGTCTCTAACTTCTCCAGGATTTGGGGAAAAGTGAAATGTTTAAGGAACTTAGGAAGATGCATGTATTTGTTAACCATGTCAATAGCTGTGCTAATTTTTATTATTTTATTTCAGATGCTACTTCGAGCGTATTATCTACTTTGAACAAAACAGGTAATGTCAAGTTATTTCTAAATATGATAACTTGTCTTCTGTGGCTTCTTGAGTTTCTCACTTGTGTGGTCTTCTGGGTTAGTAAAAGTTGTCTCCTTGCCCATTTCCTATGACTCCAACTGTTGATTTATTACTCGTTTTACTTTGACATTGAACTATAATTCTGGTGTCACCACACTCCTGAGCTTCCAAACTCTTATGGCTATAGCACTCCGTTTAAAATAACACTTACAATTTTTTTGATTACAGTAGTAATACATCTTAACTCATAAAAAATGGGGAATATAGAAAAATGCAAAGAAGAAAATAGCAGTCATCTTTAATGTTACTTTCCTAAGACTATTACTGTTAATAACTTGGTATATTTCCATTCAGTATCATATATATATATATATATATATACACACTATGTATATATATAACAAAATAGTCATAGTTTACATAAATTTTTGTATCTTGCCCTTTTGACTTCATATTAAATTATAAGTATTTTCCAGCATCCCTTACTATTAATGACTTGATAATATTCCGTCGTGTACCATATGTGAACATTAAATTTGTTTCTACTTGCTTTTTTTTGTTTTTGTTGCACTGTGCAGCATGCGGGATCTTAGTTCTCCAACCAGGGATGGAACCCGTGCCCCCTGCAGTGGGAGTGCAGAGTCTTAACCATTGGACTGGGAAGTCCCTGTTTCTACTTTTTAAATAGAAATTGTTGCAGTGAACATCCTTGTGCCAACATCTTTGCATTTCTCCCTGATTTTTGTAGAATGCTCTTCAAGGATTGGACTTATTTGGGTCAGCATTATGAATATTTTAAGGCCCTTGATACCAACTGCCCAAGTACCTTCTAGAAAAGTTGCACCCAACAACATTCCTGTCTGCAGTGGATGAGAATGTCTTTGTAACCGTACCTTTGCCTAGAGCTGAGACTATGTCATATACTATTAGATTTTCCTCTCAATTCCTTAGGTTCTATTTTGCATCTTTTCATATTTGTGAGGTTGAACATTTTTCCCCCAAAGCATTTTTTTACTGGAATCAGAAGTTCATTTCACAGCTGTGTTTTGTTTGCTCTGGAAAGGAAAGTGTCAGGGCAAAACAAAATAATATATTAAAAGGATTCTTAATAGTAATGCAAAATGCTGTCAGCTTTTATAATTACCACCGATCATCGCCCATGGGTCTTTCACACACTGAAACAGAAGCTTGTCAATAACACATACAGACATGAGATTTCTGAAACTGTCAGGATAACGTCATCATTCTTAAGTGTTTCTCCAAGGTCTGAGCTTTGTGTTTTCTTCAGAACTTGCTACTCACCCTAGGAGACAGACCTTCTTTGTAAGTCTGTGCCTGGAACACAGTCTCTTCTAACTGGCCATCCTTACAGTAAGGATTTCTGAGCCTGGTTCTCTATTATCTGGGAAATAAGCCATGGGCTCTGTTCCCAAAGCGTGTCGGGAAGATATTTCTAAGGTTCGTTTCTTCAGAGTGTGTTAATATTTGCCTGTGAGTCATTGACTTGGAACAATTCTGTCCTGGTTCTGCTGTGAGCTTGTTGGATGACTGTAGTTGGATAGTCTCAACCTCTCTGAGAATAATTTTATCTATCAATAATATTATATTATTACTATTAACTCCTAAAGAAGGTAGCAGGACACTGTTGATATTCGGGTATAGTAGCAATATTTTGATAGTAGATCCTGTGTTTACTATTTCCATTCATTTTTATTCTGAATCACCTGCTCCTTACAACCTATCACCCAAAGGTCCTGATAGTGACTTAATTCTGCATATCTGAAGTGTAAGTTCACATTAAGTTGTCTAGCAGCAGCTCATGGAAACTGCAGTAGAATTATGCAGGCAGTGGGGTAACAGGAATGATCTAACTGGGTAAACGTATGAATCCGAATCCAGACCCACCCTCTGCCAATGCTATATGATCTGAGTATGTAATTCTCATTCATTCTGCTGCTGAGATGACCAATAGTGTCTTAAATGTGTCAACAGTGTGATTTTCTTAGCAGTTCACTAAAATGATACTCATGGCAAATTGTTTTTAAAAAATAACAATTCTGCTCTAATATTTAAATTGCTTCTTTGCAGAAAAAACTAAAATCACTATAGTAAAAACCTTCAATGCATCAGGTATGACTTATTATCAATATCAAGACTTTCTTTTTTTATAACTAAAGTAAAATTAAACAAATGGCTGGTGTTTATGTTTTCTTTCTCTTTTTTCCTGTCTTTTAAAAATGAAATCTGTTCTTCATGTGTAGGTGTTTATGCACTGGGTACCTTAAATTGTACTAAGTGTTTGGGGGTTATATAATAATGATCAGACACAATGCCCGCCCTCTAGAATCTTCTAATCTATGAAGAGAGACAAGGCAAACAGATAACCAGCATGAACATGTGTGCAGATAAAGGCAATGATTTCACAAGTGTTTCTGACATGGATAAGAATCATGAGAGATAGAAGGGCTGGTGCTAATGATTATCAGTGAGATGCAATTTATGAAGGAAAGATTCTTAGAGGAGTGAACCTCAAACTCTTTTTAAATCAAATAAGGGATGTACTACTAAGTGCCTGTTACAAGATTAAGGATACATGATTTGCTTAACAAAGGCTTCCAGTTGATTTAAAGCAGGGGTTGGCAAACTATGGCCTGTGGGCCAAATATGGCCCACCACCTGTTCTTGTAAATAAAGTTTTATTGGAACACTGCCATGCCCATTTGTGTACACATTGTCTATGGCTACTTTCCCGCCACAAGGAATAGTAGAGTAGCTGCAACAGAGACTATATGACACACAAAGCCTAAAATATTTACAATAGGGTTGGCCCATTACAGCCAGAGTTTTCTCGCTCATGATTTAAAGGCTGACCTGTGGCCATGTACTTGGAGGAAATTATGGATAACAGCCCTAGCAATAGGAAAGAAATTCTCAGTATGAATGAGTAGCAAAAGATACGCATCACTGGAAACAAAGGTGCTACTAAAATTTGGAGAAAGATGAGAGATGGAGATGATAGAATGAAAAGCTTAGTAAGCAATAGACCAATGTTTGACCAAGAACATTAAAGCATTACTATCCATAGTAATCTATAGTATTTGCATAGTGTATGTTTCCAGTGAGTTATATCCATAAGCAAGTATATTTAAAATGAAATCTTTCTCTTTTGGTGTGGGTAACATTGCTGCAGAACAATATAGAAATCTACATGTCAGGTAACTTTTGGCACCTAAATTCAGTTCGCTCACAGAATCAAAACTCTTAGCTGAAACGTGATGCCTACACACCAAATGTCAACTAAGTCATTCTGGCAGGAACCACATCGCATGCACTAACTCAAATTATAATTTTAGTTTGTGTCCAAACTAGTTCTCTTAGGGAAGAATTAAGCACTCATAAAGTACTATAGAAATAAAATAGCAATCAGGCATTGCATACGTTAATTCTGACCAAACCAGACCTAACAGGGACATCAGAATATTTCTTAATGTGACAACCTTCTCCCCTTGGCAGTCTGCTAATACATTATCAGCATTTGCCCCTCACATTTATTATGGATTTCTTATACTTTGCCAAAAGGATGAAATTAATGAAGGGAAGATTCTCAGCAGAGTAAATCAAATCAAAGAAGAGATGTACCTCTCCTTTCACCAAAGGAGAAAGTATTTCTCAGGTTAATACGTATGAAGTATTTTTTCTAACATGGCTTACTTCACCTCCCATTCGTCTCTGCCTCCTTTGTATGCCTACGTCATCTGTTGTACTGGCCATCACTCCATCTTGCCCTCACTGTAACTTTTTATTTACTGGCCAGTATCACTCACTAGATTGTAAGCTTGTTGAGGGCAGGGTCTGTATCTGGAACCTCCCAAAGCCTATAGAATAAGGTAGGTGCTCAGCAAACATTTTTTGAATTTTGTAGTTTTTGCCCATGTGAAATGACCTCATGACATTGATGTTATTTCATACATACATTTGCATAAGGAGCTAAGACCAGCATTAGAGTGTTCATGGACTCCCCTGCCTAGGAAAGGAAGGAGGACCTATGAGTAAGGAAGGGCTATTTCATATAAAGTCTCTATACTCGATTGTATTCATGCTGTTCCTTTTATATTGGACAGAAGAGGGATTAATTGGGAATGGGACAAAGAAATTTTAGGGAGTAGGGGATCAGACACTGGCATACTAAAGAATAGTAGAGTCCAGTTCCATAATTGAACTACTAAGAAATGAAAATTCTCATTCCTTTAGTCTTTGTGGAATTCATCCAGCCAATTATATCCAACATGTAATATTTTGGGTACACGCTTAATGCTTGAATTTGTGAATTCTCTTAATGTAGTATGTAAGTGCAGGTGTTTACATGCTTAACCCGCTGTGTTGTGTTTTCTTTGCAGGTGTCAAACCCCAGAGAAATATCTGCAATTTGTCATCTATTTGCAATGACTCAGGTTAGTTCTTTTATACACTACACATTACCAGGTAAATTAGCTCCACAGAGAAATGGTTTGTTTTCCTGCCGTTGAGTATGTGATGTGTGCCCCTCTGATTTATCTCCTTTCATCACACCTGGCTACTAAGAGTCTCGAATGAAAACAAAAGCAAATTTTAGATCAGGCTGAAAGTGAGATAATGGGTTAACTTCCTTAATATGAGAACATGAAGCTCTGCACCAAATATTTTTCACCATAGCTTTAAATCCATAGCTAATGCCCTTAGAGTTGATTTATGAACATAATAATGAACTTAATTATTGAAAGCCAGTTCTTATATATAATATCCTCAAGGTTTTCCATAGGACCTTAAGTATTATAACTTAGAAACAGGATGTTGTCTTTTGCTAAAAATAAAACAAACCACTCTACTAGAATGTTGAAAATCCTACGTACACCTAGTTTAATTGGACGCTAATTGCAGTAGTACCCATAGTGTATTTTGCCATCTCTAACTAGACTGTGCACTATTTTTAAAAATCAAGATGGCAGTCGCTTGAGAACATGCTTTTTTTTTTTTTTTTTTTTTTTTTTTTTTGCGGTCCGCGGGCCTCTCACTGCTGTGGCCTCTCCTGTTGCGGAGCACAGGCTCTGGACGCGCAGGCTCAGGGGCCATGGCTCACGGGCCCAGCCGCTCCGCGGCATGTGGGATCCTCCTGGACCGGGGCACGAACCCGTGTCCCCTGCATCGGCAGGCGGACTCTCAGCCACTGCGCCACCAGGGAAGCCCAGAACATGCTATTTTTGAAATGGGAATATTTTCCCTTCTGCCGTGGGCCAGAAGGAATGAAACAACCACTTTTCTGACGTTGCTTTGGCTCTCTGGGGTCCCTTCCTTATTAAAACCAATGAAAGAGATGTGAAAAACAGAAAAACATGGTATGGCAGGTCAGAACTGGACCATGGGAAGAAAGAAGAGAAAGGTGGCAAAGTATTTTATAATATTGAAGTCTTAGTGTAGCTCCAGTGATACAAAAAAGCCAATCATAGGAATGTTTTCCTTTTATTCTGTTCCTTTTAACAGTTTAATAATTTGTTTGAAAAACATAGGAAACAATTTCAAGTGAAGTAAGTTAAGGTTGGATAGTTTAGAAAACAAGAAAACTTCCATTGAAAGAATGTTCCACAGACACTTTCTGTTTATGTGATTGTGAGGTTTACTTACATGAGCTTTCTGCTGATAGTATGCTCCAGGTCGAATATAGCAGGAAAGTGTTAGCTGGCTTTGATTAAAGGGAGAAGAAACTTGTTGGATACATTTCACTTTCATATATTGTGGAACTCTCTTCTCTCCTCCTTCTCCTCTCCCTCCTCTCTTACCCTTCCCTTTACTGAATTCTCCATAATTTCGTTATTTTCATGCTTCATCTATGTTTTGGACTGGTGACTAATGTCTAGCTTAGTGTTATGTCTACATGATGTTTGATAACTGAAAATTGAACATTAAGTCAAAAAAAAAAACTGGTCATCTTGAGTAACAGATGCCAGGAAGCTGGTTAGAGTAATGTTTTCCCCAGTTAAGCTACTGAATTGACCATTTGTTTTAGTGTCTGGTGAAAACAGCCTCTTCAGGGGACCTACTGTTTTGTCACCAGAAATTCCACGATATCCTGCCAGAAACTAGAAACCTTCACTTCTTGCAGATTCCAATCTGGGTTCATTAAGGGAAATGGAGGCTGGTGAAAAAACTGCGAGCTGACCAGGTAGAGTTAGGCTGAGAGTCAGAAGGTGGTTGCTTCCTGGTTGCTCTGCTACCCCTGTGCGCCCAGCACATTCTTGAAACTCAGCATGTGCTGAATAAGACTGAGGGATGAACTTGGAGAATGGAGAGGTGAGGGAGAAAAATTGTGGGTGCCAGCACACACACACAGGCACTAAATAAGTTTTTAAAAGCTAAGATTTTTGCAAAAATGTACGAGTAATTCTATGCATGTATCAATTATCTTTTCTTTTTAAATTTATTTTTGGCTGTGTTGGTTCTTCGTTGCTGTGCGCGGGCTTTCTCTAGTTGCGGCGAGCGGGGGCTACTCTTCGTTGCGGTGCGCGGGCTTCTCATTGCGGTGGCTTCTCTTGTTGAGGAGCACGGGCTCTAGGCACGCGGGCTCAGTAGTTGTGGCACACGGGCTCAGTAGTTGTGGCTCGTGGGCTGTAGAGCGCAGGCTCAGTAGTTGTGGCGCACAGGCTTAGTTGCTCCGCGGCATGTGGGATCTTCCCAGACCAGGGCTCGAACCCGTGTCCCCTGCATCGGCAGGTGGATTCTTAACCACTGCGCCACCAGGGAAGCCCCATCAATTATCTTTACTTTTAATAATTATGTAGTGCATTAATTGAAATTTCAGTATCATTATGCAGAGTTTGAGGTTCTCAGTAGAAAGGTTGCTGGAATAGATAAATCATGTTAATCACTGGCCTAGTGGCGTTGTCAGCCATTTTAAGGGGAAGTGGACCACTGGGTCCTTGGCTGTGGGAATCAGTTGTACTTTGTAGTGCAATGAAAGATGAGACGGGGTGGCCTTCCACCCTCTAGCTCAGGAGTTGGCAAACTACTGCGCATAGTCCAAATAATAGCCTGCCACATGTTTTCGTAAATAAAGTTTCCTGGGAGCACAGCCATGCCATTCATTTATATACTGTCTATGGCTGCTCTTACACTACAACCGCAAAGTTGAGTAGTTTCGACCGAGAACCTATAGCCCACAAAACCTCAAATATTTACTTTCTGATCTCTTACCAAAAAAGTTGGCTGCACCCTGCTCTAGTTTATATGATATCCTTGCCCTTCTGATCAGGAGGCCAGTTTTTTGTCTCTGTAGATTATGAAGTGCACACAGCGTACTTCTGTTAAGGAGTCTCTGTTTTGTCTCCAGATAGAGCCAAAGCCCTTCCGAGTATACCCTGCAGGAAATGGCATTGACTGAAATTGAGTTCAGTGTTTCCCAAGGCGAGCGTTTTCAGAACAGGGTTTTCTGGCATTTCTGGGACGAAAGCCACAGTGAGTTTTTCAGCTGAAGAAAGGATTTGCTCTGCATTCTGTTCAGGTTTCAAAGCAAAATCTCAACTTTGCTCCTAGGAAAGATAGTGCATTTTGTCGCTGTATTTTATTTTATTTTATTATTATATATTTTTTAAATTTTCATCTGGTAGCTGTATTTTAAAACGAAAAAGAAAAACCCAAAATGGCAAGGAATAAATAGACTTTCATAAGGCTGTGTAACTGCTGAGAAATCCTTTTTCCCTCCCTCCCATGTCTCCCATAACTGCAGCTATAACAGCTTAAAATGATTTGCAGTGTTAGAGCCACAGTTCCCCAGTTAACATCATTAAGGGAAACAAAGTCCTGATGCGAAGCACATAGATAGGGATAAAATTTCTTGACAAGGGGACAAGTTTTTTGTTTTTCTGCATTGCCACATAACATGTATAGTTGATATTTTCTGAAAATTATACTGATTGATAATCGTTGGGTAACTTTCTGATAGAAAAGCAATTAAATGTGAATAACAAAGAATTTGATGAAATTGTTTATAAAGTAATCCGATAATATTTTTCTGTATTGTATTAATCCTCAAACTCTAAGGATGCAAGTTTCAAATTTCTTTTTGAAAATTTATTTTTAGCCTTTTTTAGAGGTGAGGTCATGTTTCAATATGATGAAGAAAGCAATGTTACCCAGGTAGGTTTTAAAGATTTTTTAATTGCAGTTTAAAAAGTGAATTTTCATGTATTTAAAGATTTAAGGTTCAAATTATTTCTGATATTTAGCATATTTACTTTTATCACCAAATTTAAATAAAGTACGTGTTGTTGAAACATTAGCTTTGTTGACAGGGCTTGACTTCATGATAATCATGGTATTTTGTTAAAAATTATATTTTAGTTTTCACTAGGTTTGATGCTGAATAGAGTGTTTATATGATACAGTTCTATTGCCAGTCAAAATTTAAAATTATATTAGAAACTCCTAGCAGTAAGAAATGTAATATATTGAACCTAAAAATTGTCTTCTCAGTCTGATCCTGTTCACCCCATGGGGGATTCAGACACAGTAGTATCAGCCTTCCCATAACCTAGACTGGTTCAGAAGATTCCAGCTAAATATGGTTTGTTAATTAAGTAAATATTTCCTGAGCACCTACTATGTACCAGGCAATGAGCTAGGTGCTAGAAATGCAGTGATGGTTGCTACCAAGTGTCCCTTTTTACATTCACATAGAGAACTTTAATTGTGTTCTTTTGGGGGAACCCTTGGGACAACAAAAGATAGAAATGAGCACATCAGACTCGCTGATTCAGAATATTTTTTTAAGGAAAACATAAAAACAAAAACTGACTCAGCCAATATATATTTGATCGTTTGCTAGACAATATTCCATGCAGTTAGGAATCACAGTCTTTGGGGTGTAGTTCTTTGGGCGCCCAGCAAAACTGAAGAACAGCTTCTTCTTAGAAAATGTTATAAAACAAAACAATATTTGTTGTATTCTTAATGATTTTGTGCTTCTAGCAGAATCAAGTTATGGCTAATGGCACCTCAACTGGAATCCTGTCTCTAAGGGAATTGAAGTGAGTAATCAATCTGCTGTTTGATTTAAAACTTAAGACATCAACTATGGAAAGATACTTGTTGCGCTATCTATACTTTTGGAAACTGAGAATAGGAAAGAGACAGACCCCAGAGGTCATAAAGAATTGGTTCTTGAGATCTTTGCAAACTAACCATAGTCACCCGTCTTCAACTAATATCCCTGTGAGGCTGTTCTCTTTGATGCTATCGAATTATGTAAGAGTGTCACCAAACCAGATTCGTTTTGTCCAGTGCACAGCAAGCCAAAACACTGAGAAGCCAAGGTTTGCGGCAAAGAGAAGGGTTTATTCCCAAGGCAGACACATGAGGAGAACAAGTCTCAGATCTGCCTCCCCAAAGGCCAGGGACTTGGGGTATTTATGAGGTAAAGAATAAAGTGGCAGGGCAGTCTGCGACTGGGGAGCGTGGGGAGCATGGGGAAAGGTGACTGGAAAAAGGTGGGTAATCTTTGTTCTGTGCAGGTGTTACTAAGCTACAGACCTCTGCATGTTCAAAAATGGAGGCGCGTAGCACCATCTGAGGGTGGAGTTTTCAGCCCTCTGATGCCGAGGACATCGGACACTCGCGCATGCCCACTTGGAGGGTCAGGGGTCCTATCCCGTCTTAACCAGTTCAGCTAGAACTAGACACAGCTGACTCCAAGTTCCTGGAAAACAACTCGGAAAAACATCTTATTGTTTAGGCTACACGCTGCTTGGAAGACATGCAGGTCTTAAAAGGACTTTGATTAGCGAAGGCAGGTTATAGGCGAAATGGATTTGACTAATAATTACCCACGGTTTCAAGAGCTCCATTTGAAATGGTATTTGGGTTTTAATATGATTTGGTAGCCAATCAGGTTGAAATAAGAGTTCAAGGTAGGACTCCATGTATACCATTTACTCATGCTTTCATGAGGCACTGGTCATTCAAAAGTCAGAGAGAGGTCTTTGTTAAGTAGACCTCAGTTTACAAGGGTAAGCACAGATAGTAAGAAATGCATTACAAATAAATGCTCCTAGTTAGACAATAGGTCAAAATGTCGGCCAGCAGACAGTCTCACCTTGACTGTCACAGGTGAAATTCATCCACTCTCAACCTTGCTATTATCTTTCAAAAGAGATTTTCGTAAACTTTTGAACCAAATCCAGAAGCTCTGAGGAGTATCTGTGATGACACTGAAGAGAAAAACTTTTCCAAGGTATCAATAAAAACAAAACACATGTGATAGGAAACATGTTTTTAAACTCACAAGTTCGTAAATAGAACACAACCTAGCATACTTGTAAGTAATTCGTTTTAATTGCTAGACTTGAAATATAGATGAGTTCATTTAAAGCCACCAAGCATTTGTTGAACACCTACTATGTGCTAAGCATTGGGGATACAAATGGGGATAAACCCAACTCTCTGAGATAGAAAACTGGGTCTAGAGCAGTGGTTCTCAGCCCTGACTGTATATTAAAATCACCTGGGGAGCTTTTAAAACGCCTGCTATGCAGGCACACTCCATAACAATTAAATCGGTATTCGGGGCCTGAGTTGCAGGCATTGGTGTTTTTGAAAACTCCCTAGGTGGTTCCAGCACGAGACCAATTTTGAGAAGCAGGAATCTAGAGTCTGATGGGAAAGAAGCAGGAAGTAAACAAATGATAACAATACAGTATAATCCCTGCAATGAAGGTGACACGTACAGGCTACCAAAGGATGTTCTGAGTGTCTGAATATGGAGTAGGCAGAGTAGTTGGACATGACTGGAGTGGCCAGGGAAACCCCAGAAAGAAGGTGGCCTCTGAGCACAGTTCTGCAGGAGCAGCTCCTGCCAGCTTGAAAAGCTAGCTGACTACTGTTGCCACGATACTTCTCTTCTCTCCAGACCTTCCCTGGAGCCAAGAACTATTGTCCAGTCCTTAGAGCAGGATTTCTCAGCCTCAGCACTGTTGACATTTGGGGCCTGATCATTCTTTGTTATGTGGGGCTGTGCTGAGCATTGTAGGATGTGTAACAGATCCCTGGCCTCTACCCACTAGATGCAGGGAGCACCCTGCCCCCAACTGTGACAATCAAAAATGTCTCCAGATATTGCCAGATGTCCCTGGGGGCGGGCAGAGTCACCCCAGTTGAGAATCGCTGCCTTAATGTGAGTTCTTTAACTAGATTTCTTTCATCCTAAGTTCCTGTGAATCTCTGCCACATTGAAGAAATAAAACTGTTGTTGGAGTGGGATTGGAGGAGAGAAATGAGGGAAATTCCTAAAGAAGGTTGTGAGGAGGGGAAGGCAGGGCTGGGGAGTGCTAGAGGGCAGGTGGGGTCAGTTGGAGAGAGAATGAGTTCAGAAATCAGAGACAGAGGGCCCCCGGGGTGAGTGGCTGGCCCCTCTCAGAAATTTTGCTTCCGGCCAGCTCTTCCTCTGGCCCTTTGCCAGAAGCAGCTGCCTGGGGGTTGCAGTAGCCTAATGAAATAAGATTGTTCAACCATAATTTATATCCTGCTGTTGGCTAGAACCGATACAGCTTCTGTCTGGTTAGTTTCCCTTGTCATAAATAATGAATTTTTCCCACCTAGGAATCTCTTGTTATACCCAGTATTTCTTCAGAGTGAGCACTGCAAGCAATAAATACCATATGCTTAATTTAATTGCTAAAAATCTAACTTGTTTTGAACTTAACATCACCAATGATCTCCTTCATGTCAATTTCTCATTTTATTAACAGACGATCAGAACTCAACAAAACCCTGCAAACTTTAAGTGAGGTAATCATAGTACATCCTGTATTTGTTTATAATTATTGTTATTATTTGGGGGAGAGCATGGAGTTCTGTGCTCCTGAGGAGATACGTATTCAAATTACCCCAAATCTGTCATGTATAAGAATGAATGGGCTAGTTGCATTACTCCAAAAATCAGAACTAGGCTCAATGGGTGGACATTACAAGGGGGTAGATTTTCCTGTAAGTAAAACCAAGTTTCTTAAAACCAGGGCTCCAGGAGAATGAGCTCCCTTGTGTGGTAATGAGTTTCCTGACACTAGAGGTATCCAAGTAGAGCCTGTATTGGCCTGAATAGCTTTGCTCATATGTCATTAATCTGGTAGGAATGTGAATTGGATGATTCCTAGGGGTCCTTGTGGTTTTAAGATTCTGTGATGCTGTGATTAGTCCTGGGTCATCTTGCCTGACATTTTCAACTGTCAGACTAACATGGATTTTTTTTCCTTTTGTTTCAGACTTATTTTATAGTGTGTGCTACAGCAGAGGCCCAAAGGTCAGTCATTTTTAATACTTTTATATAAATAACCTTATTTCGCTACTCATGAGAAATAAAGTACAAGGAGTCTTAGGGTGCAAATTCGAAAGCATTCCTCTAAAATAAATACACATTAGTGACATTTTGGATATATAATTTTTTATTCTTCCAAACACATATCACTGTCATATCCATATTCTCGTTTCTTTATGAAGCACAGAGGGGTGGGTGGTGTTGGGCCATTTGCCTCTGGTTCTGTGAAGCTAAGGGTCATCAGTTCCCTTAGCCCCACAGGCCACCAATAGGACCAACAAATGGCTCCCAGTGGTCCAGTCAGGGTGAAGGCCACACAGAGAAGAAGGAACATAATATGGAGCTAGGAGAGAAAAGGAGAGAGGGGGAAGGAAAAGGTAGGAAAGAAAGACAAAAAAGAAAATAAAAAGTGTGTGCAAGGGTCGGGACTTCCCTGGTGGCGCATTGGTTAAGGATCCACCTTCCAGTGCAGGGGACACGGGTTCGAGCCCTGGTCTGGGAAGATCCCAGATGCCGCGGAGCAACTAAGCCCGTGCGCCACAACGACTGAGCCGGCACTCTGGAGCCCTCAAGCCACAACTACTGAGCCCGTGAGCCACAGCTACTGAGCCTGTGCTCTGGAGCCTGTGGGCCACAACTACTGAAGCCCACACGCCTAGAGCCCATGCTCTGCAAAAAGAGAAGCCATCACAGTGAGAACCCCGCACACCGCAACGAAGAGTAGCCCCTGCTCTCCGCAGATAGAGAAAGCCTGCGTGCAGCAACGAAGACCCAGCGCAGCCAAAAAGAAAGAAAGAAAGAAATTTATTAAAAAAAAAAAAAAGTGTGTGCAAGGATGAATCAGAGATTGCCGACAGCTATTTGAGGTTACACAGATTATCATTTGAAATTATGTCCATTGGCTGTCCTTGCTGCATAAGCCAATGGCTTTTAGGTCGATAATCTCACTACCCGAATCTTGAGCATTCTGTGAGAGTAAAAGTCCTAGAAAACAACAGTTTCTACTCATCAGACGGTTCATTGGTACAAATAAAGGCAAGTCTTCCGTGAAATTGTAGATTGGATTCCTATTCACTATATGTATTTAGTTATTTCACTTTTCATTATTTGCAACATTAAACCAAGACGAAAGTAAAAAAGAAACGGAATGTCTTAAATTCCTGGTTATCTGATGACCTGAATTGAACTGCCAGAAAGATTTTGGATTTAAGAGACCTTGCTATTCATCTAGGCTGGTATGTGAAAGGGCTCGCCTGATGGAAACGCAAATGCCTCCAGACACCGGGTGGTGTGGGTGGGTGGTAAGACTCTAGATGTCAGGATGCTTGTCTTTGCAACCAGGTTTCACCCCTGTATGTTCATGATGTGGGCAGGCAAAACGACTCAGCAGCTGTGTGTGGTCAGAGGGTCTCTGGTTTGCAGTCCCTGTGAATGTAAACCTCTATAAATTCTTCGTCCTAGAAAGTCTTTGGGGTAAAGTTCAGCCCACGATAGGTGGGTGTTTACAAGCTTATTGGGGTGACGTTGCAAGTTAACAGTGTCAGTGCCCCCTTTCCTCACTCTAAGCTTGAAAAAGCAATTACAAATATGTAGGTAGGTTTCCAGTTTAGTAACACTCTGGTTATATATATTTCTCTTTATAGCACATTAAATTGTACATTCACAATAAAACTGCATAAGACAATGAACATATGTGCTGTGATGGTTGCTTTGCAAACAGTAAAGATTCGACCGATGGGTAAGTTGTCTCTATCTTTATTGCTGTGTTCATTTTCACATGACTTTGGTGTGTTCTTTTCAAAATTGAAACTACAATGAATAAATTTACATATGTTACAGCTTTCTGTTTTGACTCTTTTGTCCTTGGGCAGTTTTTAAGGAGCTCTAAAAGGTGATTTTTCCTGCTTTCTCAGTAAAGTTTCAGTATGCTGTATTGCAAATCATGATAAAACAAACCCTACTGAGAGGGAGAATTCTGTTTGGAGTGCTCGATCGATTGCTGCTGGGATATATTTACTCCTGAATTTCTCTTAGGAGTTGCTGAAGAGCGATTGATACTGTGTGCATATAACCCCAAATTATTCACTCAATAAATATTTTTGAGCACCTACTATTTATATATACTTGTCAATATAATGGAATCCAATTTATTTTATCACCTGTTTTAGACTAATGCTCTTCAAAATCCCATCGGTGTAAGAACTGTTATACTTGACGGAGCTGAGCTTCTACCTTGCCTTATTCTTGACCATGCATTTTCTTCTTTCTTTTCTTTTTGTTTCCTGCAGAACAGTGCTGCTGTTCTGTCAGGATCCCCTGCCCTTCCTCCCCGGAAGAGTTAGAAAAACTGCAGTGGTATGTAGCAAATATGCTGACCCTTTTCCTAATAATAATAATACTTAATCGCCATGCTGGCTAAGGAATTTGAAATTTTGACGGTGAAGAAGGGCTTTCAATTTTAGGGAAAAAGCACAGTTTTCTTTTGTATGAAGTTTCCTTCACTTTAAACCAATGGTGTGCAATCTTGGTTGCACATTAGAATCACCTGGGGAGCATTGACAATATTCTGACTTCCCACAGCCTCACCAACTGAATGTGTCCTCATATTGAAAAATTTTTCCAGTGTGGTAGATGAGGAATGGTGTCTTAGTGTTATTTGTACTTCTCTTATTAAAACTGTTTGAACATTTTCTTTTCATATCTGTGGGGCCATTTTTTGTATTTTTGTGAATTGTGTGTTCATATCTTTTTCCCACTAGATATTTAATCAGTTTTTAAGAGTAATTTATATATTTCTATATTGTGGATATTAGCCCTTTGTGGTATATGTTGCAAATATTTTCTCTCCAATTTGTCAGTTATCTTTTGACTTTGTTTATGATGTTTTTGTCGTGCAAATGAAAAAAAATTTTTTTATGTAGTTAAATTTACTAATCTTTTATTTTATTGCTTGTGGATTTGGAGGCATTATTAGAAAGCCTTTCCCTAGGCCTGGCTATAGAGGAATTTACCCTTGTGTTTTTATAGTACTTGTATGGTTTCTTTTTTTGTTTGTTTTTACATTAGATCCACTTGGAATTTATTCTTATGTAGTGGGAGGTATGGGTCTAATTTAATCTTCTTCCAATGTCTATCTAGTGGTCCCAGCACCATTTATTAAAAAGTCCACCTTTTGGGGCTTCCCTGGTGGCGCAGTGGTTGGGAGTCCGCCTGCCGATGCAGGGGACACGGGTTCGTGCCCTGGTCTGGGAGGATCCCGCATGCTGCGGAGCGGCTGAGCCTGCGCGTCCGGAGCCTGTGCTCCGCAGCGGGAGAGGCCACGACAGTGGAAGGCCCGCGTACAGCCAAAAAAAAAAAAGTCCACCTTTTCCTCAGTTACCTGAGATGCCACCTTTGTCATATGCTAAATTTTGGTAGCTATTTGGGTTAAACTCCAAATGTTAGATATTAACACTGGGGGAACCAGGTGAAGCTGGTTCATGGACCCCACTTTGAGTAGTGGAGTTCTAGACTGTAGAACAGTGGTTCTCAACCCTGGCTGTGTGTTGGAATCATCTGGGGAGTTTTAAAAACACCAATGCTGGGAATTCCCTGGTGGTCCAGTGGTTAGGACTTGGCACTTTCATTGCTGGGGCCTGGGTTCAATCCCTGGTCAGGGAACTAAGATCCCACAAGCCACAGGGCACAGCGTGTACATACATGCATACATACATACATGCATACATACATACGTGCGCTGATGCCTGCCTCCCACCCGCAGAGCTAGGGATGTCATTGGTCTGGGGTGCAGCCTAGGTTTCTGGATTTTTTAAAAATTTGGCTAGTATTAGATGATGGCCCAGTGTCTTTCCAATGCATTGGTTCTTAAGAACCAATTAGAAACACATGGGGCTCTTTTAGAACTGATGTGTCAAGGTCGCCTTCTGGGGTGCTGGAAATACTCTATATTTTGATCTGGGTGGTGATGATAGAGGTGTACACATATTACAATTACAAGTTTTATAATTCTTCAAGCTCTAAATGTAAGATTAGTACAGTTTACTGTATTAGGCTATGCCTCAGCAAAGAAGCACATTAAAATGAATATGGATGCCTGCACCCACCCCAGAGATTCTCGCTCATTTGGTTTGGGCTGGGGGCCCCGGCACTGGTGCTGAAGTGCTCCAGGTTTCTAACGTATAGGTGGCATTGCCCGCCACTGCTCTGCTGCTCACCACGTACCTCACCCGGTGGGTTAAGGGCTCTGATTAGCAGAAGTGATGAGAGCAATACAGGGCAACCGCTTCATGGTTGAGCCCAGCGAATGGGAGCCCCATGCTAAGGGGTCCGGCTGCTGCAGCCCCCAGGTAATATGAAGGAAATTTAATTTACACTTCTCAAAGCACCTTTGCCACAGCTTGGCCAGATGGGTTGCCGCATTATACAATTTAGGGAATGGAGGCTCAGAGAAGTTGGGTGGATTGCCCAGAGTAGTAGTGAGAGCTGGAGCCCCAGCCAAGGCTTCGCGACTCATCATCTTTCTATCTGGCACCCCTTTGTCCATACTGCTTCCCGAACATCAGGCCGTGGGGAGAGGCTTCCAGCTGGGTGCCTGGCCCAGACTGGGTTGAGCCAGCATTTCTTTTTATGGGTATAACTTTCCTTAGGTCTCTCAACCTGATATTCCTCCCTCCTCTAACCCAAGAGAAGCTCCAAGAATACATTCTCACTGGTGTTCTAAGTCACCATCTAAAACTGGATCCGTCAGAGTCTTCCCTGGGTGATAATTTGTTGCCTTTTTCCCCTGAAGACTGGTGGATTTTGTGCCAGATGGTAGATGAGTTCTTCTCAGTCTTCCATGTCATGAAAATACTTGGGCCTGGGAACCTCACCCCCACTCCAGGACCAACTGAATCAGATACTTAGGAGAAGGCCACAGAAATCTCTCTGTTTTTTTTAAAAAAGTCCTCTATGTAATTCTCAGGCACAGCCAAGGTTGAGAACCACTGGGCTACAGTAACATTGAGGGTGTACAAGCTGGGGACCACCCCGTTGGCCCCAGCTTGATCCGTTTTTTTCATTCAGCAAGCATTTCTTGTTCACATACTGTGTGCTTCTTAGGACCATGGCAGGCTATAGCAGTATAAAATTGATCCAGACAGATTCCTATGCTCATCAGTTGCACAAAAATTTATGTATTGTTAACTCCAATTCAAGATTTTCTTGAAACAAAATTCAATACGTTGAAGAAAGAAAAATGGCAGTGCGATTTACCTTTCCTAGCCAGGATCACCAGTGTGCATGTGAACCACCAAACTTTGAAGTTTCTTGGAAAGGAAAAGCTTATTTGTGACCCACCAAGACCCGTACAAGAATTTGCTGGAATTAAAAATTCCATTCTACAAATTAATAATAGTGATTTCTACATATTTTTTCTTCTATCCATCAATATGCAGAAGATTAGAATTGTAACTGACAGAATTATGTACTTTGGTTGCAAAACCTGTAAGAAATATTTGAAGAACATTTTGTTGTTACTGGTAAATTTAGAACTGCTTTTCAGTTTACGCCATACCACTCTGAAGCCATTGTTAATACTGAGTTGACACAAGAGTTAGTGGATCTATTATGGACAGACATAGTTTTGAAATGGGTGTGCTTTAGCTTCTAAGTCAAATCAGTTGTTCCAAAAATGATGAGCCAGTTTTGTCAGTGTGGATTTGAATATTAAAGGAAAATGGTATTTTGGCATTTGATTCAGTTTCTGGAAAAATTTTAAGTATGTTGGGAACAGTTTGGGCATGTGATTCCATTTTTTTTGAGAATAAATTTTGTAAAATCAAAAAAAACCACCAAAAACGACAGATTCCTTGTATATGGAAACTACCAGTTGGGTTGCAGGGCGTTTAATAGCTCCCCTCCGCAAGAAGCGCCTGGAAATGTTACAAGATCTCCTCAACTGACTGATAGAGTCAGGGAGCAGCAGTGAACAAGTGAAGCAGAACTGGGAATTCATGAAAGAGCATCCCTCCTGGCTAATTCCCCTCCCAGGGAGAAGGTGGTGGCAGTGGGCAGGGGCAGGAGGCCAGTAGCAGGTCCACAGAGGATGTGCAGTGGCAGGTCCCTGGTGGAGCCATGTCACAGTGGTGGTGTCAGATGGTTGCCAGAAGAAGAGATTAACCTCTGTAGCTCGTTCGTGTCTCACGTGCATCTCTCTGATTCTTTCCTTTAGTGACGTGCAAGATCCCGTTGTGTGTCTTGCTGGTCATCCACATGGTACACCATTTTCTTCTTCCAGCAATTCCATCCCAGTTGCTCCTCAGGCCACCATTGAGTCCCAGACCTCCAGTGCCTTCTCTTTTGCTGAGCCTCTAGCTCATCCAGCTGTAATCCAGAGCCCTCACTCTCCAACAGGGGTGATTCCCCTTTCTTCTCCCCAGCCTTCAGCTCCCATAGCTTCCAGCCCTGCCATTGATATGCTCCCCCAGTCTGGAACTATCTCTTCCCCTGCGCCTCCAACTCATCTTTCCCACACCCTGCCACCTGTGAAATCCGTACCTCCCTCTCCCACCACGTCTGCCCCTGTGAATGTCAACACGACCAGCACACCTCCTGACAAGACAGGTAAGTACAGGGAGCAACGCTGCTCCCACGTTTGTTGTAATTCTGGTCACGTGAAACCCAGCTGCCAGCCTGCCAAATCAAAATACCTGTAATGAAACCACGTTAAGCCTTTGCTTTTGTGATGCCTACTTGGTTTTGAGAGCTTTCCTTTGGGCGTTCTTAGAACATAGATATGGCTGAGTTTGATTGTTTGGCCAAGAGAAATAGCTCTGAGGCAAACACAGATCTCATTTTGTCAAGATGAGTTATTTTATAGGTTTCTTTCTCCTACAAAAGGTTGTTGGGTCACTGTTTTCAACATTCTGAAGAGAAAGATTTTGAACTATTAAACACAGTAACTCCATTTAGACAGAAGACAAAAGAAACCATTGATGTTCCTGAAAACCAGTCAGTCACAGAGTGCCAGAGCTGGGGCTGAGCCACAGTAGCCGTGAGGAGAAGAGAATTCAGAAGACCTAGGGGTGGGTCTGCTCAGGCCCTCACGGGTGGTGGGATCCAGAATAAGCCATTTAGCTCCCCCTAACTTAGCCTGCTCTACCTCAAGATGGAAATAATCTCACTATCCTCATAGGTTTGGAACCGTGGCAGACATGAGAATGCCATGGAAACTGCACGGGGCTCCCCGGACACAAAGTAGGCTTAGGGGTAAAAAGATAAAGGGAAGAGGGAAAGAAGCAGAGAGAATTCTGGATACTCTCTGGAGTTTCAAGCCAGTGAGTAAGAAGCAGGCCTTCCTTTAGAATTTGGAGGGTGGGAGGCAAAGCCAACTTCTTGGCGACATGAGATTGGAGCTCGAGCTGTGGTCCTGCCTCCTCTGCCCCGGGCAAGCATCCCCAGGAGATTTGGAGCCAAATGACTGGAGATGTTTTTGAATTCCACAAGAGAGGAATGATGAAATATGATATGCCACCTCAACAAAATGTCTATTACGCAGATGTGCATAAGAATAGCTAGACAGAAACTTGGGGCATTTTTCAAGTCTTGAGTGAAATGAAAATAACGCGACAGTAAATAGTTCACACACCATGTTTGTAATAGTAAGTTATAACAGGTGGATAAAGATTAGAAGGGAATATGCAAAATAAGAAATAGGATGTTAGGTGGTGAAATTAAGAGACTTCTTTAGAAGTCATACAGGTGGCCAATAGGCACATGAACAGATGCTCATCATCGCTAATTATTAGGGAAATGCAAATCAAAACTGTAGTGAGGTATCGCCTCACACCGGTCAGAATGGCCATCATTAAAAAGTCTACAAATAATAAATGCTGGAGAGGGCGTGGAGAAAAGGGAACCCTCCTACACTGTCGGTGGGGATGTAATTGGTGCAGCCACTATGGAGAACAGTATGGAGGTTCCTCAGAAAACTAAAAATAGAGTTGCCATATGATCCAGCAATCCCACTCCTGGGCATATACAAAGACAAAACTAAAATTTGAAAAGATAAATGCACCCCCTGTGTTCATAGCACTATTTACAATAGCCAAGACATGTTAACAACCTAAATGTCCATCGACAGATGAATGGATAAAGAAGATATGTTTTTTTATATAAATGTGTTTTATACATATATATACATATATATATATATACACACACACACAATGAAATATTACTCAGCTATTAAAAAGAATGAAATAGGACTTCCATGGTGGTGCAGTGGTTAAGAATCCTCCTGCCAATACAGGGGACACAGGTTCAATCCCTGGACTGGGAAGATCCCGCATGCCGCCAAGCAACTAAGCCCATGCGCCACAACTACTGAGCCAGCGCTCTAGAGCCTGCGTGCTGCAACTACTGAGCCCGTGTGCCACAACTACTGAAGCCCGCGTGCCCTAGAGCCCACACGCCACAACTACTGAAGCCCACGCACTCTAGGGCCCGCGTGCCACAACTACTGAGCCCACACACCGCAACTAGAGAAAGCCCGCACACAGCAACAAAGACCCAATGCAGCCAAAAAATAAATAAAAATTAAAAAAAAAAGAATGAAGTAATGCCATTTGCAGCGACGTGGATGGACCTGTAGATTATTATACTAAGCGAAGTAAGTCAGAAAGAGAAAGACAAACGCCATATGATATCATTTATATGTGGAATCTAAAATATGACACAAATGAACTTATCTACAAAACAGAAACAGACTCACAAGACATAGAGAACAGACTTGTGGTTGCCAAGGGGGAGAGGGGTAGGGGAGGGAAGGATTGGGAGTTTGGGATTAGCAGATGCAAACTAGTATATATAGAATGGATAAACAATGTCATACTGTATATAGTACAGGGAACTATATTCAATATCCTGTGATAAACCATAATGGAAAAGAATATGAGAAAGAATATATATATATATGTATAAGTGAGTCCCTTTACTGTACAGCAGAAATTAACACAACATTGTAAATCAACTATACTTCAATAAAATTAAAAGAGAGACTTCTTTGTTGTTAGACAGGTTTATATCATTGTATCCCAATTAAAAACACTACTAAAAAATCAGGCTTGCAGCTGGTAGTCCAGCTGTTGATTTCATAATATTCTCCTTTCCACAAAAAGAGCTTTTAGTTACCCACATAAAGTTCTGTATTCATGCTGTAAGTTAAATACATGTATATTTATGCTTGTACAAATATACACTAAATACACTAATGTACTTTTACATTTTTTTTTTTAGTTAGGTTTCTTGAAGTATAATTTACCTACAATAAAATTCATCCAGTTCTATAGATGAATGAAATTTTTATAGTTCTACGAGGTTGGATAAATGCCCTCAGTCACGTAACCACCATCATGATATATAACGTTTCCACTATCCCCAAAGTTCCCTTGTGTCCCTTTGTAGTCAACTCCTACCCACTACCCCAAGCCTCTGGGCACCACTGATAAGTTTTGTTTCTCTATGCTTTCAGTTTTTCTGGAATGTCACATGAAGAGAATCATACAGTATGTAGCCTTTTGAGTCTGGCTTCTTTCATGTAACATAATACATTGGACTGCTGGAGACCTGTCCATGTTGTTGCATTTATCAGCAGTTCATTCCTTTTTATTACTGAGTAATAGTCCACTGTATGGATGGACCACAGTTTGTTTCCTCGTTCTCCAGTTGATGGACATTTGGGTTGTTTCTAGTTTGGGACTATTATGAAAGAGGCTACTATCAACATTTATGAACATGTCTTCTTTTTTTTTTTTTTTTTTTTTTTTTTAAATAACATGTCTTCTTAAGACAGGTTTTCATCTCCTTGGGGCAAATACCTAGGAGTGGGTTTGCTAGGTCACAGAGTCTATGCGTGTTTCTTCATTAGTGATTTTTCCATTATGTGTTCAGAAAGTGATTTGGCTCTCTGTTACAGAAATTGTTCACACCAGCAGCGTCAGTGTTTCTGAGCTTGAGAACCAAGTGTCCCGGATGGAGAAGGTTCTTTCCTTAGGCAGCTTGGAGCCTAACCTCGCAGGACAAATGATAAACCAAGTCAGCAGACTCCTTCATTCCCCGCCCACCTTGCTGGCCCCTTTGGCCCAAAGGTATGACTTAGCAAACTGATGTGGTCATGAGAGGGGACCCTCTAATGATAATGATGCTTCTATATGATTAATTAAAGCCAAGTATTTTTCTCTCACGTATGAGGTTCATGATGACTTGTTAAGTTTCTACTCAATATTCTGCTTAGACTGGGGAAAACAAAGTGGGAGTGCTGAATTTGAACGGCTACTTCTCTTTACAGATTGCTAAAAGTAGTGGATGACATTGGCTTACAGCTGAATTTTTCAACCAAGACCGTAAGTCTGACCTCCCCTTCTTTGGCTCTGGCTGTGATCAGAGTGAATGCCAGTAATTTTGACACAACTACTTTTGCTGCCCAAGACCCTGCAAATCTTCAGGTACATCCTAATTTATTGTGGAAAAGACCTTTTTTTGTATATGATTATAGTCCTTGTGTACTTCATGATTGAGGCAATTACTGCTATACTCAGGGGTGATATTCAAAATATTTAACATCTAGAACAATGGGGCGCCACAGAATCAAAAAAAGGACATTGGTCTTGGCTGGAGCAGGATCTCAGAGGTCCTCATTGTGCCCAGTGTTAACCCTTTAGCAGCTGGCTTGTGGAAGTTGAGGGGGGGCAGTCAAGTCGGGGAGGTGTCCAGCAGGTTCTAGGCAGTTGGGAGAGAGCAGGGACACCGGCTGCTTCGCTTTTTCTTTTTTTTTTCTTTTAACATCTTTATTGGAGTATAATTGCTTTACAGTGGTGTGTTAGTTTCTGCTGTATAACAAAGTGAATCAGCTGTATGTATACATATATCCCCATATCCCCTCCCTCTTGTGTCTCCCTCCCACCCTCCCTATCCCACCCCTCTAGGTGGTCACAAAGCACCGAACTGATCTCCCTGTGCTATGCGGCTGCTTCCCCACTAGCTATCTATTTTACGTTTGGAACCAGCTACTTTTCGACCCATTTCAGTATTTTTTTTAATACATAAATTTATTTATTTATTTTTGGCTGCATTGGGTCTTCGTTGCTGCGTGCGGGCTTTCTCTAGTTGCGGCAAGTGGGGGCTACTCTTTGTTGCGGCGCGCGGGCTTCTCATTGCGGTGGCTTCTTTTGTTGCAGAGCACGGGCTTCAGTAGTTGTGGCACGTGGGCTCAGTAGTTGTGGCTTGCGGGCTCTAGAGCGCAGGCTCAGTAGTTGTGGGCGCATGGGCTTAGTTGCTCCGTCACATGTGGGATCTTCCCGGACCAGGGCTCGAACCCACGTTCCCTGCATTGGCAGGCGGATTCTTAACCACTGTGCCACCAGGGAAGGTCCCCATTTCAATATTTTAACAAGCGTTACAACTACACTGGTGTGAATAGTGGTGCTGTATATCAATCCTGCTTCTAGTGTTTTCTTTTAGAGGGATTGGGGACTGGAAACATGCAAGTAAAACCAAGTCTCGCCTTTAAACTTAATTTGTCTAGTCTTCCCTTTACAAGTTTAGTGCATGTGGTTCTATGATGACTTTGCCCTAACAGGTCACCAAGTTGGTGTGTCTGCTGCTGTGGTCTCCTTGGGCTCTGCAGTTATCCTGAACTTTCTCCCCTCCCACCCTAGCTTTATTGAGATGTAATTGACATATAGTATCCTGCACTTTCTGACTGTTTCTGTATATCCTTTATCCTTAAAATGTTTCCTTTCCTGCTCCGAGGCCTCATCTCCCTTTTACACATCCTCTAATTTCATAGCAGTCAGAGAAACAAGAAGAACCAATTGTACATAGAGACACCACAAATAAATGCCCTTACAGGATCCTCCGTCTTAATTAGGTGTTGTGTTTTCCATCTCTTCATTATACTAGCCCCAGACATCTTTATGATCTTTTACTTGATTTTCAGGTTTCTCTGGAAACTCAGGCTCCTGAGAACAGTATTGGTGTTATTACTCTGCCTTCTTCGCTGATGAGTAATTTACCAGCTAATGATGTGGAGCTGGCTTCCAGGGTGCAGTTCAACTTTTTTGAAACACCTGCCCTGTTTCAGGTAAAGTTGCCTCTAATTGCTTTTGGTTTCGGTTTTGGGGGGGACTGTGGGAGTTTTATTTCTTTTAATCCTCACATATTCTTAAGCCTGCTATAAGCCACATGAATTGCTGAAAAGTTGTAGTTTATTTTTCAACAGGACCTAATGATGCTGCTGAGGATAAATAACAATAACTGACACTCACATAGCATTTATCAACTGCCATGCAGTATCATAAGCACTTAGAAATGTTAACTCTAATCCTCTCAACAACATCATGAGGGAGGAACTATTGAATTATTATCCCGGTTTTACAGATGAGGCTATGGAGGCACAGAGAGGTTAAGTAACTTGCTCAGGAACACACAGCTTAAATGGCTTAATGTTGTGTTCCCTTTAAGATTCGTGAGGGTCTCGTTGTGTCAATCTGTGAAATTTAGCTCAGCATTTAGAGCATTGTATAGTGGAATAAGCTCTGCCTCTCATTATGGTCCTTGGGAAAGCCACTTTACTCCCTGCCCCCGAATTCCTGACCTAGGTTGTAAAATAAACAATGTGGACTAAATAGTCCTTAGGGTCCCGTCTAGCTCTAAAATTCTCTGATAACATTTCATTTTCCCTTGCCATCTTGTTGATTCTTTGGTGTGCTAGGACCCTGCCTTGGAGAACCTCTCTCTGATCAGCTATGTCATTTCCTCGAGCGTGGCGAACCTGACAGTCAAGAATTTGACAAGAAACGTGACGGTTACATTAAAGCACGTCCACCGGAGCCAGGTGGGAGGGGCCTGTCTGGTCTGTTCATTGACCAGAAACACCTCATGCAAACTATGGCTGTAAGACTTTGCCCGAAAAAAGTAGATTCAGCAGAACCTTAGACCCAGTTAGGGCAGTGTGTAAGACAAGAATCACATAGTCACTCTGTTGGGTTTTAGCATGCCTAATAACTGCCTTCCTAATTTCCAAGAGGGAGCAGTGTAAAAAGCAAGCTCTTCTTGCCAGTTTTCAGTGCTTTATATCTGCGGCTACAGGTCTGATTCTCACCTCCAAAGAGAAAGCATCTTAGTTCAGTTCACATTGAGCATCATCTGTGACCTTGGTGCTCAAAGTGTGGTTTGCAGACCTGCAGCATCAGCATCACCTGGGAACTTGCTAGAAATGCAGACTCTCAGGCCCCACCCCAGACCCACTGAATCAGAATGTGCCTTTTAGCAAGGCCTCAAGGTGATTCCTATGCACGATTGCTGAGTTTAAGTGCTGACCTATATGAGACTCACTTGCTTCTAGAGACCAGTGTAAAATAAGAGCTCTCCTAAAATCAGGAATGAGATTCTGAAATTTTAAAATATCGTTTTGTTTTCTAATCGCTTCCCAGTTTTTTCAGTTCTGTAAATTAATTATTTGTAGTTTATCTTTCTATTACAGGATGACTTAACAGTGAGATGTGTATTTTGGGACTTGGGCAGAAATGGTAGGTTCCAGACATAGCTTTTTCAGTCTTGAGTGGGAAGGGGAGGGGGAGCAAGGAGGAGCAGTGATTGGTGCAGTGGCTTTGCTGACGGGGCAGACATTCTTTCCAATGCCAACAGGTGGCAGAGGAGGCTGGTCATCTGATGGCTGCTTTGTCAAAGACAGGAGGCTAAATGAAACCACCTGTACCTGTAGCCACCTTACAAGCTTCGGCGTCCTACTGGTAATATCCCCACTCTACCTGGCCTTAGATTTGGGTCTGAGGGTTAGCTGGGCATCATACCATGATGTCTAATCTGATGGATAACTTTGATAGATCAGCAGGTTTCATGATATTGTGGCAAAGTTATAGACCAATGAAATGACTCTTCTAATAAGCAAATGGACTTGAAGGAAAATACTTGAACATAGAAGTTTTTTTCGCATTCTACTTTTACCTTTAAGTTTTTCTTTTTAAGATAGCTATAAGAGGACTAGGGAATTCAGATTAAAATGGGTAATAAAAATAGTTTGTAATGCACTTTAAAATTTTAGAAAACATTTGACATAAATTATTTTATTTAATCTTCCCAACAATCCAGCAAGATAGGTAGAATAGGGAGTTGTTATTTTCAGTGAAGTCAGAAGTAAGACTCACTTGTTAGGTAATTGTCTACAGTCATAGAACTAAGAAATATAAGAGCCAGAAGCCAAATTCAAGTCTTTTGGCTTCTAGCCTGGTGCTTTTCCAGTGCACCATAATGCAGTGATCAAGTACATGGGCTTTGGAGTCGGCCAGACCTGAATTTGGATCCTGGCTCCTCTACTTTGTAGCTGTGTGACCATGGGCAAATTACTTAACCTCTCTGGGCCTCAGTTTTATTATCTTTACATGATGATAATAATTGCGCCTATCTTGTAGGTTTGTTGAACGAACTATGGATGGGTACCTGAATACCCAATAAATGTAAATTATGACTCTGTTATTTATTTTAAAATATTTGGTCTTGAAAGCAATATTTTATTTTCCAGGACTTGTCTCGAACATCCTTGCCACCGGCTCAGATAATGGCCCTGACATTTATCACCTATATTGGTTGTGGGCTTTCATCAATTTTTTTGTCAGTTACTCTTGTAACCTACATAGCCTTTGAGTGAGTATCCACAACTGGAAACTTGGATTATATGACATGGCACCTCAATTGCCAAAGTATATTAATTAATTAAGCATGCTCCTTGGCCTAGCTTATCCTGTCCACCCATCTAGTGGGGCCACCTATATGTAAAACTTCATGGGACTTTTTGGTTTATATACTTCCTTCCTTCCACTAGTTTGTGCACTCACTGAAGGCGGGGGTTGTGTCTTAATCATCCTTGTACCCTAAAATGATGCCTGGTACCTAGCTGACATTAAGTGAGAAATGAAAGATGGATGCAGACCCCGAAACCCAAGAGCTTGCAATGTGAAATAGAGCATAGCTCCATGTACAGCACAAGAGCTGTGTTTAATATGTTAAGTTTCTAAATAATACTGAGCAAACACAAAAGATTAAATGCATTAATGGGTGTGGGGATGAAGAAGAATAAAGGGTATCACGTGTCACTGAAAAATACAGATACTCAGTGAGTGTGGCTTTGTAGGTCAAAGCAAGAATGACATTCCAAATGACAGCATCTCCTTCTTGGTTTATCAGAAGGGTCCCTTTGGTCACTTCTGGGGGGGGATTCCAATAAATTCTGTCGGAAAAGAAATATAGGCACTTTTATTGCATTAACTAAATGAAATAATATGTAAGTTCTGGGGTTTAGATTTTGGACACTGATCAGGAAATGCACAAATTTACCTTTAGTGCCAAACTTAGGGTCCAGCTGTGACTACAGATCTTCTAGTGGACCTTTGGAAATATGATTAATGAGACTAAATTACTATAAGGCCAACCATTACTCAGAATGATCTCACCAGATCTAATTTCACATGCATAAACATGTACATGTCATCAGTTAGCTGTATTTTCCTATGGCTGTTTCATTTAGCTATGGTTTGAACTCTTCTTTCCATGATCTCATTTTAACTACTAACATAAGATAACAGGAGAATCTGGCTTTTTGAAGATCTGAATAGAGGATCCTATTGTATGAGAAGCAGCACAATGCTTCTAGAAGTATTTTGGGAGAAATGGAGGTGGGTGCTCAGAAGATTCCACTACAAACTATTTGAAAGGATGGGTCAATAGTCGGCATGTATTAAAAGGTTCCACAGAAATAGAAACATGAATTTTCCATATGGTTATCACAGATGATTCGGTTTCGATTTTCCCTTTGTTATTATTGTTGGCTTTAATGCCTCCCCACACACACACACACACACACAAACACGCTCAAAGAGAGGAAATTTATACATATAGACATTTACCAAAAAATAAAAATAAATTGCTTAGAACACAGATGTGTTCACATAAACGTTGGCAGATCGTGATGCTAATTCTTTTTTTGTCCTTTCCTTTTAGAAAGATCCGGAGGGATTACCCTTCCAAAATCCTCATCCAGCTGTGTGCGGCTCTGCTGCTGCTGGACCTGGTG